TGTAGCGTTTCGTTTCCTATTGTTGATTTGTAGTTTGGGTAAGTGGCGATTTATCTTTGTTAGATGTCTTAACGATGGAAGCAAAGGAACGAGCACATGATGCAAATGATATGTTCTCAATAACCACCTTTTTACGGTTCGTTATAAGAAAACAGTTAGCGTAGTAAATTAAAAGAGAGATAAGCATGTACGCGTGTTTTTACGCGCCTTGTATATATAAAAATAAATATAAGTTCGCGGAGAGAAAACAAAGGAGAGAATAACTTTTTTCTCTTTCTTCACCTTCTTTTTTTACCTTTCAAGGAATAAAGAGAGGAAAAAAAGATTTGCCTTATGCTATTTGGCAGACTAATTGATAATTGCATTTCCCGAATTGGCCTTGACCTCAATTAACGTTAATTCGTTTTGTAGAAGAAGATACTGTAGTATCTATTAAATTTGATAACAATTAAATTTGATAACAATACATCAAATTTTTAAATGCTATGATTTTATCGTATTATTTAAATTTTTATCTGTCTATTTATTTATTTTAAATTACAATACGTATTATTTTAAAGCATTTATTATGTTTAAAGCATTTTAAAGATCATTCCATTTCTACCAAATCCATTTTTTAAACAACATGTCAATTCTTGAAGACATAAATGCCAATTCATGCAACTACTGGTTGTTGTTAACAATCTTTTTTATGATCAGTTACGTCGCCCAATTCTATTTCCGATACTTTACACGAGAAAGTCCAGTGCCTGGTCCAATACCAATACCAATATTCGGTAACATTCTTCAGATGAGAAGTGATCCCACGATATATGCAAATAAAATGCAAAAAAAATATGGGGATATGTGGGAAATTTCTATGGGTTCTGAAAGATATGTTTATCTTGGTCGAGTTGATTTGATTGAAAAGATGATGAGCTCATCTTCAAAAACTAATTTTTTCCAAAAGGTGACATCTTATGATTTTGTTAATTTAGGTGTTTTACACTTGAAATTAATGAAATGTTATTACGAATATTTAGGGTTCAAAAAATGAAGGACTGGTTGAATTAGGCTTATGACGCAAGGAATTATTTGTAATGGAAATATGAGGGCAGTTCAATCGTAAATTCCTCACAAGCTCAATAATATCACCAAACTACTTGAAAGATTTTGTGCAAGAAACAAAATTACGATTTAACGAAATGGAAAACTATTGGTCAAATTTGGCACTGACTTTCAAATAGACTTCGCAAAATGGATGTATCGTCTTACGACCAATCTCATATTAAAATCGACAACTGGAAAACCGTTTTACTCTCTCCTATCATACTACAACACACTCGCACTAATGAAAATAAAAGTTCCTGGATCAGCAACAATTGAACCCGAAGAATTCTTGAACTTTATAATGAATTAGTTTACTATGCTTATGTATTTTCTTTTTTTCTCAAATTTTATTCGTCATTACCTTCCAGGATTTAGACAATTCAGTCAAAAACTTTTGACAAAAAATGACTTATTGGATGAACAATATTAAAAATTATTGAAATGAGGAGAAAAGAGATTGAAAGTTCACCTGAAACACCTTTTCAAAATGATATTCTGACATCGTTATTGATTGCTAATACTTCTCGAGATGTAAATTTCTCTTCTAATAATGAAGATTCAAAACCGTTAACGAATAATGAAATTAGACAATTAATGTTGAATGTTTTTGTTGCTGGCATTGACACAGTATCTTGTTTTTTCTCTTATTATAAACACTTCATATCAACATGTGCCTTATTTAATCTTCTTATAATTTAGACTTCAAATTCGTTTTGCTTCATAGTTTACTATATTTGTCAACATTCAGATGTAAAATCTCGTCTATTACAAGAAATCCATCAAATCTTTGGTACAGATCCACACGAAATAACCTACGAAACCCTCGACAAACTAATTTACACTAAAGTAATAATAAAAGAAGTAGCACATCTCACACCAGTCGCACCTCTCCTATTCAAAGAATTAGAACGTGAAGATGTAATTGGTGGCTTAAAATTCAAACCTGGAATAATGTTTTGCTCAAATCAACAAGGAATACACTTAAGCACATGATACTGGAAAGATCCCAAAACATTTCTCCCGGAGTGATTTATAAAAGGTGGTGAATTCGAGGCAAAAAATCTCGAAAAAAATGCATATATTGCGTTTGGTAGTGGTCTTCGTATATGTCCCGGAAGACATGTCACTATGGCAGAATTGAAAGTTTTAATAATGTTGCTGTTCGGCAAATATAAAGTTCAATTGGTAGACCGAAAGTTAACGTATTCTTTTATGGTGCTTAATTAATGTCATGAATTAAAGATTTTAATTCGGCAAAAAATTAATTAGTTTTTTTATAAATTATTTTAATTTAAAAAAGAAGAATATTAATTATTTATTTATTAGTTATTACTTTCTTTATTATATGCGTATTTATCCCACAATTTCTTCCCTTACTCTATTTCAAATTGTATGATGAGTGCGCTGGTAAATGTATTATGGATAATAAATTATTTTTTATAAAAACAATTTTTTAAAATAAAAATAAAATAAAATATCGGATAAAGTTATATTAATTTTTAGATTTTATGAATATTAATATTTTAATAAATTTTATTAGAAATATCTATATTGTTACCGTTTTGATGGGACTTTCGAAATACTCAAATATATTTATAAAATTTAAGAAATATTCAAAGGGAAACTTCCAATGTCTTAATGATAATTCAAAGTCTAATAATACTTTATGGCTTTAGACTGAATATGAATTAAAGT